TCTATGCAATAATCACTATAGACACTTAAAATCAATTTGTTAGAGATAAAAACAATTTGTTTGTGATAATCAAAACAAGTTCATGGATTTATTAGGCCAGTTTATGGGCCAATCCACTAAATAACTTTTATCTTCGAAATCAATTGGAAGGGACAACACAAGAGAAATCATAGATAAATGATGGAATCTTTAGACGCCTCGAAAATGCTATGAGGTGTTCAGAAATAGTTGAAGTAGTTGAATAGCAGGATCACTAGGATTATAGCCCTTAGTAAATTTATAAAAGACGAAAATGATTTATTTGATATTATGGATAACTGGTTACGGAAGGATCATTTTGTTTTTGTAGGTTGATCCGATCTATTACTCTTTCCCTGTGCCTATTTTGCTATGGGAGGTTGAAAGTAAAAGCTGTTGTGGCACAAAATTGTGGAAATTTTGTCTTGAACATCCCTCAAATCTAGCAATGCAGGTTTTTCACTTTCCTTAGGATGCATCAATTTGTCCAGAAATAGATTGGTTATTTCCTTGTATGCATTAGCCAATTTGACTATTGCATAGATAAACTTATGATTTACCAAGATGTTACGCATGAGTAAAGGGAATATTTATATCCTTTAACTTTCTAGGCGCTCTTCACCATCTTGTCTATTAGGAAAGTTTAATTCCAACAATGATTTGATGAGTTGAACAACTTCGTGATGTGATAGGTTTTGCATGTAATTACGATATAGCTCGTGTTTGTTAACTATAAACCTTGCTTCTTGTGGTCGTCCTGACTTTAACAATGCTTTGGTGCATCTCAAAAGGAATACGAGCTATTCAAGTTTAGGCTCTTTGTTCGAGTTGGCAATTATAGATTTTTTTTTTTTTGGTGTTGGTAGATAGGGAATTCCTTGTATTTAACTAAACTTGTAATTTAATGTCACTACTACTGTCGTCTAAACTGATATTAAACGCTAGTGGTGATGTATAAAATAACATTACTCTTATTTATTAGGCTATGGACCAGAATCAAGCCTACCACTTGGTCCTGCTAGGAATATGACTTATTGGATAGTACTTTATGAGAATTTTTGAGATGTTGAATACGTTGAAGATTGAACTTGTTTTACGTAATATTTAAATTGACTTGTTATAAAAGATAAGAGAGTACTTATATTTATATTCCTCGATGAACACCTCTAAACCACCAAATTAATTGCATCTTCCAATTATCCATTAGCATCAACTAAATACAGACATTAGGCAATTCTAAATATTTGATTATTCTAGAGCAAATACTTAAACATAGACTATTCTAAATGTAGACTCGTGTATTCACTTAATTACAATAAGGATCCGTTTGATTGCGATGGTGGAAAATGAGTGGAAAGAAAATGAATTACAGGGAAATTAATTGTCTAAAAATTGTTTTCCAGGGAATTGTTAATTAAGTGTGTTTGATTGGTATAATTTTCCACCCGGAAAATTTTTAAATTTTGTGTTCGTTTGGCTTTATTTTACATGGAAATTGTCCATTAAAGTGATAATTTTTTCCACAATTGGT